TTTAAATACCTCGCAAAAAAAATTAAGGTTTTACTGAACCACAGCTATTTGTTACATTAGTGGGAGTGAAATAACAACCATTACTTTTTATTTATTTATATGGTTATTTATTTGTTGAATGTTTAATTACCTTTCAGTCACTTTATAATTACACACTTTTAACGTTAATATAGTTACAATGAAGATGTGGAATTCAGGGGAAAAAGTGGAATTTAGAAAAAACGTGCGCGACTGCTCTTTGTCTGAATAAATGAAAACTATGTAACACAGCTGTTTACACTTAAATTTAAAATATTTGACCAAAGGAAAATCGGTGCAGGACTAGAGAGAAATGAATACGATTCAGATTTTTATTTTCTACTGTGTACGACACATGAGAGACACGCCATTAACAGCAGTCATCTTTTCATTCCTCGGCTTTAGCAGCTTCTTTAATTCCACRRCTGACGCTGCTAAAAATGACTGATTTTCTTTTCTGGATCTCTGAGAGCAGGACTTCAATCTCCGAACTCGTGAAGTTCTTCTTTTTACTTTACGATGCCATTTATGAATGGACACTTCCTGGTATGTGTGGCAGGAAACGTATATGCTTATATGGTGTTTTTAGGGTGGTAATTATGCTAATCTCCTCTCCTCATGCACGAGCAGCTGATACGCATTCATCAGTTTACGCAGCTCATTTACACACTTTTCCTGAAGATGTGGCATGTTCGTACGAACCCTTCGTAGGAACAGAAGTAAGAGAAATTTAGGATAAGAATACAAAAATGTTCTTGCATGAGGCCCAATGTCTCAGTGTCAACTTTTACAAAATGGTGAAGCTAATACATATATACCTATGTTTTGTGTCTTCCACGAGGAGCTACACAAACTGTACCTTCTCATTGTAAATTTCCAAATACGACATGCCAATGCTGTAGTCCCATCCTTCATCCTCATCCTTTGCACTGACCAGTTTGAAGAGCTCTCGTACAGCTCGAGGGATGACACCTGGCTGCTCTGCACTCCCCAACATGGTGTAGGTTTTACCTATAAAGAAGATCACAAGACTTAGGAGAAACTGGGGGCTAACAAAACACTCAAATTGCATCAAGAAAAAAAAGTTTGTCCTAAATGTGAAAACATATTGAAGGTCCTACCTTCCCACACATATTCCCACTGTAAGTACAGCTTACTGTAACAAAATTAAGGGCCTATACCTCTTGAAGGAATGCAAATTGCATATCKCTTTACACAAGATGGAAGAGATGGAATACAATTACAGCCGTTTTGGTCAATCCTTATAAAATCACATTATGCACAATTTCACACAATATTGCAAGATGTAACAATTTGTTAAYGCGTGTAGCTTAGCCTTTTTTGTTTGCTATGCTAGAATTGATTACYRGTGGCAACCATCATGAACTGGGTTGAGTGTAGATGTCCATCATAAAGTTATTACTTTTTAAGTTTTTGCTAGTGGATGAGATATTTTGTTAGAAGATGGTGTATCTTCTGAATTAATGCCAAAATTGTACATAAATACATTGCATGTCAAAAAGACCTCTGATTATGCAATGGAGATGAATCTCAGCAACTACCACACCAAGTTTTAGGTCAAGATCTGTAAAATTGATTGAGTTACAGCCATTACTGTGTTGTGGTGGCCGTCTTGAATTAGGGTGATTCCAAAAGCATATTGCAGTAATTAAAGCGACTGACAATATTCTGAAAAAGCAAATAAAACTTCTCCAGTGGTTCATGAAGTAGATTGCAAACAGAATTTTAAATATTGCTTTCACAAACCAGCTCCTGTTGGGCCATAAGCAAACACACTGGCATTTTGTCCGTTCAGTACGTGTGGTAAGATAGGTTTCACCAAAGGGAGGAAAACCTCTTGCTGTGTCGTGTGCTCTCCATGGAAAACATCAAAGCTGGAATAATAATAGGGAAAAAAAAACAATTTCAGTCTTTGATTACGGAAATCATGCATTAAAACATACGGAGGGCAGAATGGGTCAACGTGGCGAAACTGACTGGTATTTTACGGTCTCCGTTGCGTTTCTCCAGTTAACTATTTCCAGGTTCTGGGAGTCCAGGCCTCGGACACAAGGCCCCTCGTCCTTCTCATCTTGTTTGCTCATGTAGGGTCGCAGACGAACCGCTACTCGAACCCGCGAGGTCTTCTTGTTTCCAGCGTCTGACGCCACCACACGCTGCGCCATTTTCTTTTTGTCGGAGCTCCTCTAAACAAAGGCCTGGCTCAGGTTACARAATARCAAGTTAGCCTGCTGTGTTACRTGGGAATTTACTCGTTGGGTAAAAWGCAGTCAAATMATTTACACTCCTAAAAACACATKCAGAGAACAATTCTCGATTTTCATTTAAGCTAATGTTATATGTTAAGCTGTTATAGGTTTGACGGTTTTAAAATAGACACTCACTGCTAGTTGAAATGTGCTACTTTCTTTCCAAGTTTCATWAGTGAGACTTACCGATGAATAAAAATAACTTCCTCAGAAAAAACACTCGTACAACACTTTCCGCAACATTGTGAGCTCCTCCTTTTAACAAATTATGGCGAACTTCTAACCGAACCCTTTTCAAACCAAGAGCGCTGGGACCGGAAATGGTTGTTAACCAATCAGAACTCGCGTAAGCGCTGGCGCCCTTTGAGGTTGTCTTACAATTTATAATARCATAAAAGAAAGCGTGCAGCTCTGCTAGGTAAATCTTATAAAGTAAACAGTGAAGAAAAATATGTTATGTAATGTTGTGTCCCAAATAATACGAGTCTGCAACTGGGCGCCACCCAGGAAGTCGCGTCAGGATTAGATCTCAACATCACTCGGACTTTACATTTCAAGGTTACTGGCCGTRGATGTTGGCTTTGAAATCAGCGGARCCGTGGACCAGCGCAGAACCAAGCAGMTTGTCCGGTCAAAATGGCGCTATGTTTATGTCCCTGTATAATCTTTTACTTCACTTAACTAGCCCTATGAGATGCTACGATGATTGTATCGTTTGAAAGATAATCCAAGATAAACAACAAACCACAGCAACAACGACCAGGACAAACCGGTAATAACAAACAAAGGCACTCATGTTCGTTTTTTTACATTTGTGTTTACAAATAGCTAACAGCTAGGCCTGACATTAGCTAAGCTGTTTCCTTCTGGCTGCTTATCATTTAGCAACTTTACCAGCTGCTACTTGACTGATTGCCATAAGTTAGTTAGTTAATAGTTAATTCTTTTATTTGTACTACATCTAACAGCTTTCATTCGTTCTGATGATCGCTCTTAAACCTCTGTTGCACAGATTCGTGGTGGCTATCAAAGTTCTCCCAGCAGCAGGCAGGATGCAGGCTGAAGTGACAGACTCTTCCCTCAGAGAGGGCATTGAGGCTCTTGGGGTGAAGGACGCAGAAAAGCCTGCTGCAGGGACAGAAGAAGGGAGCATTACGGAGCAACATGACTCAGAGATGACAGCCGTGACAGAGGARGACCCAGCTGCCAAGGATGAAACAGGTGAAGACATAAACAAAACGCTTCTTCACGTGTTGAAGGAGTGTTATGTTGTTAGTTTAATATTTTGTGTGGTGTCTAGTGTATAAAATGACAAAAAAATATCAGTTTCCTTAATGGTTAGAAAAGTCCAGAACTTTGAGAACTGTTTAGGAACTGTGTAAATAGATGTTTGTTAGGACTTCTACGCATGACAAAACTTGTTGGATTTAACTGTATGCCTGCAGAATACATTTCATTATAGTAGACTGTTTAGACTTCATTAAATCAATTGAACTGAAACATGGGCACAAAATAAATCACATCAAAAATACTAATTCAGGAACAGGGTGATTGATTGTATTTAATGCTACATATAGATCTGGATACTGTTCATCATAAAGCTTTGAAATTCACTTCAATTTTTAAACGACTCACTACTATAACCCCATGTTTGTGTTGGAAAGTCTGACRTATCTGCCAGGAAGATTTATTGAAAGGCACTCTTTGTGGTTTYCTATTACTTTTATTATTCCAAAGCTAATTTTATAGTGTAGTTCAGTTTGCATACATCAGCCAAACACAGCTACACTTTTTGAAATATTTTAATCTAAATGTTTTAATTTGAAACATAGATTTAAATAACACTAGAGTGAGCCCCGCCCATCCCGTCCACCGTTAGCATCTGTTGCTGTGTTCCAGTTGTCCTCAGAGTTTCAGACTACCGAGTCAGAAAAATGAACTGGAATGGCCCCTAATGTCGTGATTTTGAGCCGGGAAGTTGGTGCATCATCATCATCATCATGACCATACTCGAGCAGCTCGAGCACACGATGTCATCATTTTAACATGGCTGCTCCTCGCATCAACAGTGAATGAAACTCTTTTATGGTTTTTAGCTGTTCTGTATTGTTTACTTYACGTTAAGTCAGTCATACTTGTAGTATTGTATATTGATTATTAGGCAACATTTTTAACGCTGTTTGTACACTCAGAATGCGGTGTTGATATTGTTGCATTATTCTGCCAGAACAAGTAGAAACACTTGAAACACAATGTTGCAAACATGTACAATAATGATAAATCCAAAGACTCTTGCCTGTTCTGTTGAGCATCTACGTAGATCACAAGATATCTTTGATCTAAAACAAAAACAGCACCCTCTGCTGGACGAAGGTAAAAATCTGTATGAACATTGTTTTGCTTCATCATTAAAAATGCTGCTTTTTAATCATCAATTTCTATTTTTTTAATTGATTTGACAACGTTGAGGGCTCGATGAAGATTGTCCACTTCTGATTTATGGCTGCCGAAATATAAAAAGGTTTCCAGATAGTTCAAAGTTTGGGTGTTGTTTCTGTTTGCTGTCATTGTTTAGACATAGTTGTGTAACTACTAATCAATTCAAACATTGTTTACAGGTGAAATCCTCCGTCTCGTATTTTTCAAAAGATGGGTTAAAACTGACTGCATCTTCTTTTCTTCAGATGAGAACACAGAAGCTGTGGGAGGAGAGACACAGAAGGACCAACTTCAGGAAGAYGCAGGGGGCGACGCTGAAGGAGAGAAGCCGGCGGCTGAAGTGGACGATGAGTGGGAGCTTCCGTACAGCGACGAGGAAATGGAGGACCCCAAGAACTGGATGCCTCCCCCTTCCGAGATCAAAAGACTCTATGAGATCCTCGCTAAAGGGGAGATGTTGGAGTTGAACTTTGTGCCCCTCCCCAGAAGGCCCCCCACGCCCGAACGCACCCCATCGCCTGAAAGGGATGAAGAGGAGGAGGCTGCAAAGGAAAGGGAGAGACTGGAGAAGGAACGGAAGTCAGTAAATTCCCTTCGCTCCCCCTCTTTAGTCATTTCGATTCGTTTGATTTAAACAGACTCGTTTTGTTTTCCAGACCACCATCTCCGACTGAGTTCGATTTCAGCGAGGAGCAAACTCAGAACACACCGAAAAACGCCTTCATCAACAGGCGCAGAACACCAGGTGGGACTGTAGGAACTGTATTAGTGTGAGTGCTGAATAAGCTGAAATTAGCTAAAGAAGCTAAAACTGGATTTTTAAAAGCTGAAAGTTAAAACGAGAAAAACACTAACTAAAAGCAGAATGTAGTTAGCTTAAAGCTAAAAGGAGCATGAATGCTGAGTCAGGATTCCCATATGAAATATGTCCAGCACTGTTTCATGTACCTGTTCCTGTTTGATACAGAAACCCGTCTTCACTTGTTTTCCAGGCTCTTCAGCTCGCTCCTCCATAAAGAGGGAAGCTCGTCTGGACAAAGTGCTGTCAGACATGAAGCGCCACAGGAAAATCGAGGAGCACATCCTGCGTACGGGCCGAGATCTCTTCAAGAGCGAGAAGAAGCTGGAGGAGGCCCTTTCTCCAAACAGCCAGAAGGAGCGGGAGAAGGAGAGGGARCGAGACAGCAACCCCAACACCATCTTCTCCCCGAGACAGAGGAGATACTGAAGCGTTCAGGAACCAGGACTTGCCCCGAGGCCATYGGGAGCTCGTCAAGGCTCTCAAAAGACTTGAATTTTTTTAATTGTAAGAAGTTTTGTATGATTTTTTTGAGTGTTTTGTATAATTCCCATAAATATTTMAATTTTAAAGAATGTGTGTTATTTCAGTATGATGTAAGGATGGATGAATATATCGATAAGAGAAGCAAAGATGAGTCAGTGGCAACTGGTTTTTCATCATTTTTAAGCAAAATGATGAAATATGATGCACTTATTCAGGATTTTTTTTTGTACTTTAAAAAAAGAAGGTATATAGCTTTTAAAAGACAATGACCAACAATAGAGAAGGAAAGAGACACYCAAACAGGCTCAGGACAGAGAAGTATATTGTAGCTAAGATTGAGTAACAATACAGCCTTCACATAAGGCTCAGAAGCATAGAGTATACATATGCATAAATATGCATTCAAATCCACAAACCAAATAAATTATTAAATAAATAAATACTTACAAATAAATAACAAGCATTTGTGGAATATACAGTACATCAGTTGAAATGTTCCAGTATTGTCAAGAAGTAGTACCTTTATGGAGCCAGGGAACGGGAGGGGGGTGGATGTTCTGTGTTCGACATGCCCACAGCTGTTCGGAGATTATGGAACCCACTAAACCTGTCTGGATGGTTTCTGAGCTGTTTTAGGATTTTTTTGTGTCCTCCCACTGGACTTGTTTCCAGAAGACTAGCTGCATGAACATAAAGTGATAAATTAAGCCAGTTTGTTCATAAGTSGTTCATTAACAGCTCAGCAAAACAACTGATTTTTTTTCCTTTAAAAAGACCTAAATCATGAACTCTACGGTTAGAAAATGAACATAAAWTACAAATTAGACAAAAAGTGCTGCATGTCAGTCACAAGGAAATGCCCTACTGCAAGATAAATATACACTTTTGGTTCTCTTTAAACAACATTTCAAGTCTCCAAACACAAACAATAATAATAAAAAAACTGAAAATCTTTCTGCAGAGCAAATGGATATTTTGAGATTTAACATCAGCACCAAACTAAATAAAACAAAAAACAAAACAACTGTTAGGTTTGAAGTAATTATGTGCAGAAGGAGAAAAAAAAGTGACATTAGTTAATAGAATAAATTTAAATCTACATTAGAGACAAGAACTAAACCTGTCTGGGTTAGTTTGCACAAACTACACTAAAATTGTGAAATGTTTTCAACCTAACTGGCCTGTTTTTAAAAGTCTGGCTGAAGAAATTCATGAAATCAGGGCTGCTGCAGAAAAAAATAAAAAGAYTAAAAGGCATGTATTTATAAGGAAAAGGGGGACTTTTCTCTGACATGAAAGTAGTAAATTAACCCAAATTAATAAGTTTGTAAAAAAAAAAAAGTAAGCTTCATTTTGCAAGATGGGATCGCCCTGACTGCACCATCGAGCTTGTGTTTCTCCTAAAACTGACAAGTTTTTCACCCAAATTGTTAAGTTTTTTGAAATTWAAAAAAAAAAAACATCAGTATCTTCCATTCTCTTTCCATCTTTTTCTCTTTTTTTTTACTGCAATGGCCAAATACTTTATCGGACAACAAACAGATAAACAAACCCGTCAGTGACGTAATACTGACAAGAAAAGGACAATTTTACATCCGCTATGTACAACCGTCACATTATGCTCTCTGAAGAAAACCTTTTTCCCCCACTTCTCGAAAACAAACAAAAATCAATCAATCAATCAATCAATAAATTAATAAATAAAAGGTGGAAATAAAAAAAATGCAAAAAAAAACAAACAAACAAACAAATAAGAAAACAGGATAAGGCAGCAGAATACAGTATTATGACNTTTTACATCCGCTATGTACAACCGTCACATTATGCTCTCTGAAGAAAACCTTTTTCCCCCACTTCTCGAAAACAAACAAAAATCAATCAATCAATAAATTAACAAATAAAAGGTGGAAATAAAAAAATGCAAAAAAAACAAACAAACAAACAAATAAGAAAACAGGATAAGGCAGCAGAATACAGTATTATGACAGTATCTCCCTATTAAAGATGAGTCAGTCTGCAGGTTGGTTACATTTTGTTAGAGTGACAGTGACTACATAGAGGATACAGATAAACACTAACAAGTCAAAATACTGCTTAGCTGGGATATTTTTTGTGTCTTTCTTTTCCTTTTTTTTTTTGTTGTTGAAGGTATTTTTTTCCTACTAAACTGAATCAGGCCTTTCATCTACAGCAAACGTACTAACATACAATATAATACATTCCTATTTTCCAGCGCTCCCTATACTATGAGGCAGAGAGGACTGTATTTGATCTACGTGAGGGAAATAGCCATCTATGCTCGCTAAAAATCCAGGCAAGTTCCTCTCAGGTCAGTGCATGTTCCTATCTTTCACAGTGCCTGATGACATCGTAATACTGGGCGCCCCTAACACTCCGTTTGGTTCCTACAAACTAAGAAGCTGAGGTCAGTGCAGCCGTTCAGTTGTTCGTCCGGCTACAAACACTTCAGCACAATCTGAGGTCATCGTCTGAACTTGTTTGTCGTTTTTTTTTTTAAAGTCCCGCTTTCCCTTTTTACACACTTTTTGATACATTCGCCCTCCTCCTCCCCCCTCCCCTCCCCTCCCCGCCACTCGTCTCAGTGAGTGGTCAGCTCGGGCTCTGTGGAGCGGCTGCTGTAGCCGTTGGCGGGCTGCGGCGGCGCGCTGCCGTCCGTCTGCTCCTTGGCGGTGGGGGTGGCGGCGGCGGGCGGCCTCTGGGAGCGGGAGGCGCCCGTGAACAGTCGCAGCGCGCCCCTGCAGATGAGCGAGAACCAGTAGAGCTGGGGCGCCATGAGCAGAGCGGCGCCGAGGTTACAGTGCCACGGCACCGTGAAGGGAACCATGAGGAAGGGGATCGATGCGTACCTGTACGCCGAAAAGGAGGATAGGTTGTTTTTTTTAAATGTCACCTTATATTCAGAAACATCACTCGCCAATGACATTCAAAAGTCTGGCTTTAAAAGAGGAGGGTGATACGCATTCCTTCAAGGTCTAGGTTCAAGTAGCTGTGGAAGTTATCGACCCCAGCTCAGACAGTCGAACAGAAGAGAGAGAGAGAGAGAGAGAGAGAGAGACATACCTTCCATATTTGTAGTAGAGGTAAGGGAAGAGTAGGACTCGAAAGATGAAAAATGTGATCAGCATAAGAGCCCCATTCACTTTGTGCAGCAGAGTGTGTTGCTGTTTGTACTGAGAGTGGGGAAAAAAACAGAGGGAGGGGAGAAAGAAAGGCGAGCAGCAGAGTTTTGTGAAGAAAACTATGTTAATCTTCATTAATATCATTGTCAGAATGTTAACTCTAACACTGTTACATTCAACGCCATGTGAGTGGGAAAGAAGGAGGGCACAGTTCAGGTCTTGTTGGATTATTGAAAGCTGCAGCAGTGTTTAAGCTTTTCTAATTAGTTTAGATTTTACTTTACAATAAGCCTGCATCAGTGGGACAACAGCTCATGTTTTCCTCAATAAACCCCAAAATGAAATGTAAAAAAAATAATAATAATAATTTCCAGAATTACACTCCATTTCTCCAAAATGACTTTGTTCAAAAAGCGATCTGCAACAGGTAAGACGTTAACTGTCCAAAGGTTTTCCACAGAACCCCATTTAAAAAAAATGTGACCAAGCTGCACGACCAGAAATATACTCTCCGATGAATTAAAAGTGAGAAAAATCTAGCGTAAATACAGAAGATGTTTAGTGACAGACATGCACATGCGATAATGATCAGAACTGATTTTTCCGTCAGGCTGAAGGGAGACACTTACCTGAATGAGTATTTTTCCTAAGCAGACAGACGGGGTGCTGAGCTCAGCCATGAACATTATGCCCTGGAAATAATCCCCCTTGCCTTGCCGCCAAAACTTGTGGAGAAAAAAAAAAAGAAGTTGATGACTTGACGAGGCTTTAACTGTAAATGATGGTTTGTAATTTTAAAGGGATCCATGATTAGTTGTAACATTAGACTTTATTTGATAAACATTTATTTAAACTGTAAAATAAAGACTGTAAAAATACTGTAGGCTGTTTAGTTTTGTACATTTTTAAAAATATATTTTATTTACACTCAAAGCATTCTGGGTAAATGATGACATGGATAGGTCCTCAGTGTGAGCGAGCTATATCCACCCTGAAGG